CAGACCCGTTGTTCCGGTTTTAATAGACGAGGACATATCGTTTACGTAAAACAGAAAGATAATAGGATCTAAGATCGAACCTTGCGGAACACCATATTCAATTGGTGAAGAATCACAAAGATAAGTAAATAATGTGCAGTAAATCATTGCGTGCCAGTACGGTATTTCTACTCTTTGAGATCGATGTTAATGGCACAAGGTTATCCAATCTATACCACGAATTCCATAAGAAGGTAATTTTTATAGCAAGATGTTATGGTCAATCACGTCAAAAGCTTTCGATATATCTAATAATATTTCTATGGGAGATACATTTTGTTCCATTGATGAAGCAACATCTTTAAACAAAGAAAAAAATGCAGTTTCCGTTTCCATCTGCGAAGTTATTTCGTTTTATCCATACTGTGACGGTAAACAGTTTAAATTCTATGATTTACCAATCTTCGTTCATTGACTATAACATCAATATTGTACAACCCTAATTTTGAGGCTGCTTTTCATTCAAAATTATTTATATTTGAAAAAATCACGATGAGTCAGCAGCGTGTTCTGTGCAATGAAGTCTACAATTAGTGTACAAACAACTGGCCTCCCGAGTTTAATATTACAAAGCGTGCCTAGGAAAAACGGGATATTTTGTAAGCGATGTTTCGTTTAGGCAGAGATTGCGATTTAATTCACCGAAACAATAAAATAAGTATTTCCTGGGAATATGATGAAGAACATGTTAGTATTAATTTTTACACCTGAAATGTCTCCCAATGCTCAGTAGAATCCCGGTGATCCGAAAAAATACGGGGTGTGGCCTGTTCGGTTTTGGAAATGTTCGGATTTTCCGAAAAAATGTACCGTACATAAACAAATAGTTCTATTGGATTATCAGACAATGCAACGTAACGTGCGATATGAGAAAATTGCAACGTAACATAGCAATGGAAATTATTGAATTAATAATATTTTCATTTAAAATAAATAAAATATTATCTAGTATAACGAAAGTTAATAGTATTGATGAAGCTATGGCTTGAATAATAAAATATTTTATGGCTGCTTCTGTTGATATTATATTGTCTTTTGAAGATATTAATGGAATGAAAGCTAGTAAATTGATTTCTAAACCCATTCATGTGGCTGGTCATGAATTAGATCTAATAGAAATTATTGCACCTAGAATTAATATTATCAAAAATAATGATTTTGAAGGATTAAATGTTGAAATTAAAAAGAAAAGGATTATTACCTTTTTAAATGGGATATGAACTGATTAGTTTAATTAGCTTATCTTTTTTATTGATTTTTAGTGTATGATGCACCCATATTTTCATTACTTGGGCGATCCACACGTGACCCCGTGTCTCGGCAGTTGGCCCAGCTGCTCTGCAACGGGGAGGGGATGGGGGATGGAAACGTGCATGATATCAGACTCTACCATGCATAACGCAGCTAAACAAACTTGGATGGTTTGGAATGTCTAAATTTTTCTAGGAAAAATCTTTAAACAATTACTAACTCTCCCTCACAAATTTTATCATTTTTACTTTTTGACCCCTTCCCCTGTACATCTTTCTTTTCTCTTTCATGAATCTTCCCTTTCACTACTATGTACAACTTACTCAGTACTATTAATGTTCGGCACTAAGCCGCCATCCTGTCATTTAGTTGGAGTTTCTCTTTCACAATCCCCAATCCTCGCCACAAGCCCGGTTGGATGAAATAACTTTATTTATATTTATTATTATTATTATTATTATTAATTATTATTATTATTATTATTATTATTATTATTATTATTATTTATTATTATTATTATTATTATTATTAATTATTTTCTTTTCAAATTTACACCTCGTCCGGAGTTTTCAATATAACTCAAGGACCAGAAACGTCAAAACACTCATGGTGGAGAGACCATGAATAGATTTTTGCTCCAGTGTTCTCAGGTTCCTCTTCAATTACTCAAAGAAGAGAACCTTACGCACAATATTGTCGGTTCCAGAGCCACAGCCTTCTGCATCGTTCTGATTGCCACTATTTAGCTGGAGTTTCTCTTTCACAATCCCCCAATCCTCAGCAACAAGGCCCGTTGGATGAAATAACT